AGGGATCCTTTAAGGGTTTAGGGTTTTAGGGCTTTAGGGTTTATGGTTTAGGGTTCCTTTTAAGGGATCCTTTAATGGTTTAGGGTTTTAGGGCTTCAGGGTTGAGGGTGGAGGGCTCCTTTAAGGGATCCTTTAAGGGTTTAGGCTTTTAGGGCTTTTGGGTTTAGTTTAGGGTTCCGGGTTCAGGATTAAAGGATAGGGTCTATGAGTTAAGGATGCCTCATAGTATAGCTACGAGAGGTTTTGTAAGTGTATAAGCCGTACTAAGCCCTGTAACGCCTCACAGCTTTTCAAGCCCTCAAACCCTCAAACCCCCAAACCCCCAAACCGCAACGGTCCCAAACGCACCCAAAATAAGCGAAACATTCCCGATTCCCAAAGACAATGCTATGTCATATGAGTCATATGACGCTATACTGCATTAGGCTGTATTGTACTATATACTATAGTATGCTATATTCTACTATATTATAGCATCTCCATCTCCAGGCCGCTTTGAAGAGCGCAGCGACCCCAGGGATCGCGAAGCACGCGGCCAAGCTGAAGAAGGCGCCGGCCTTGCGTTGTTTCGTTTAGGGTTTGTAGGGTTACGCAAGCATTGGGTCAGGGCAGTTTTGGTAGGACTCTAGCGGTTGTGTTTTTGATCGCAGTTTGTATTAGAATCTTAGAATAAGTCGGGATTGTTTCGAATATTGGAGCTTTAGGGTCCATAAGGCCTAGATCAGTTTCGGTCTGTCGGAACCCATGTATCCTTGCTTGGTGAGGGGAAGCAAGGCATCCAAGCTCTAGTTTTGTTGCAACCGCGATGCACAGTATAGTATAGCATAGTGCAGTACAGTGCAGTATAGTATACTGTAGTATATTAAGTAAACTAGCGTATAGTATAATGTAGTACAGTGTAGCCTCAAAAGCAATGAAGCAGATCTGAGCTGGGGCTTGGTCATTCAGCCGTTTTCCCCGGTGAGAAGGAGGGGTAAGCCGCTATTCCATCCATGCGAAGCCGCCAGCCTTTCTTAACGAACCGCTTGTCCATCAAACTGCTGCTTACACGTATAAACCACGGACCTTTGTGCCATCCGTGGAGCAGTGTTGGTATACTCAGGCTTGAACACCTTGTCGGATTACTACTTTATTGCTACTCTTCGTCTTCTCCTTGTTGTTGTTATTGCTGTCAATTTTAAGGGTTGTTTTTACTGCTGTTCTTCTTCGTACTATGATTGTGAGAAATTAGCCCAGTTATGATGGTGGTGATGATGATGGCGGCAATGATGACGATGACGGTTGCTTTGTCTTTTTAGCTGTGTTTATAACCTTTTCGCGACGGTTGCGGGGCAGACCTGAATTCTTGCCATCGGTGCTCTACAAAGCGCTGGCGGCCCAGGAACTACAACCCGCCATCGTACAAGCCCTCGCACCCTAGCCCTAAGCCCCATGCGCAAAGCTCCAACACTCCCCCGTTCCAAAAAGGATAATTAACAAAACAAAACCGCACAAAAAACTTCAGATAGTAACAGCTAGCTAGATGAGAGGGAGCTCTTGCCACCAGGTTTGGCCCCAGTGGGGGAAGATCGCCAGTGAGGCACCGGTGCCCGGGGCGGGCCTGGTCCTCCGCGAATGCTTACTGCGGAGCCCTCGGCTTCGACGTGGCTGAGGATATGTTATGACTGTTATGATAAGTTATGATATGTTACGATATGTTTTGTTGTGCTATGTCATAATTTGCTATACTGTATGCTGCCTTATTCTTGATTATGTTCCGGGGTTCGCCTCCGAATGCTGTCGGAAGCCAAGGCTCACCTTCGTACATGCTGCAACCGCCTTGGCGCAGCTGAGCTCCAAGCGCTTGTACGACATCTGGGTGGTGCCCCCTCTGCGCAGCTCGACAGGGTTCCAGGGGGTGCTTAAATCATCCGCCTTTCGCATCTTAGTGACTGTAGACTGCTACCACGTGAACACAAACACGGTTGAGCAAATCACGACGAAGCGCAGGGTTTCCTTCTTTTTCTGCGTAAACCCCGGTAGTTCGTGGAAAGCTGGCAAGGGATGCCTCGAGATCCATTGGTCTGTCCGCCTGTGCATGCAGTGAGAGCCTGCAAGAAGCACTAAAAGCATAGGGGTCTCAATAATTACCTACATTATTTTTTGGGGGGGCTCATAACTATGAATATACTATACAGGGCCCCCAAACCCTTTTCTTATTATTAAGGCCCCTATAGTATAAGACAAGGAGAGGGCCTGGTCCTGGCGATTGTCCTCTTTGGCTCCAAGCATCCTTTGGCCATGAGGCCGCCAAAGACCCGGGTCCAGGGCTTCTTGAGTGGCGACGTCTAAAACAAGACCAGCAATCGGAGCAGCAGTAAAATCAAAGCAGCTGCTGCTGCCACCCATCCTAATGCCATTTCTACTACGACTGCTACTACTCCTGCTCCTACGACTGCGGCTTGCTGCTGCTGCTGCTGCTGCTGCTGCTGCTGCTGCTGCTGCTGCTGCTGCTGCTGCTGCTGCTGCCACCACCGCGACAGCTACGGCAGCAACGACTGCCACTCCGCTCTGCAGCTACTCTTCTGTTGTGCGGCTGTTCTACACGTGCTACTCCTGCTGCGGCTGTGCTCTTCTACAGCGACGCCCATCACTACGTCCATGTCCTGTTATGGCTTCTCTTGTTCTGTTATGCCTGACCTCTACGGTGTTTCTAGCTCTTTTTTATATGTGCTTGTATCAGAACTTTTTTCAGTAGGAAGGAAGTGTTGCCGCACGCTGTCCACTCAAAATGTTTGCAGACCATGCCGCATTAGAAGCCTGAGCCACCTCAACGGGCTGGGTGGTACCCATGCAACGCCGTACAGCAAAGCTCGGTCGCAATGTGGTGTGCACATTCGATCAGTACTGGAGGCGCGAGTCAGTCTTGCTCGCATTCGCAGCAAGAGCAAACACTTGCGAGGCAGTCATTGTCTGGCTTGTGTTGTTACAGAGTTACCGACAGCCGCTCAAGTGCCATACTGGTCTCCCCAGCTGCCTCCTGTGCAGGCTCATCCATGCCTGCCAACGGGCACAGGTGCCCGAGCAGCCTCCAGCACCTCCAGCGCCGCCTCCAGATCCTTCCCGTTTGGCCCGGCCCAGGCGTGGGGATATGATGTTACATGATATTCTTGCATCACACAGGGACAGCGAGAGAGAGAGAGAGAGGCCTTACCTGGCTCTAACCCTGAGCAAAGCAAAGCAAAGGCCTTATCGAGACAGAAAAGAGAAGGAAACCCCTCCCTTCACCTGCACAAAGAGAGAAAGAGCGAGCGAGAGTAAGGGAGGATGGACAAAGGGATGCATGAATGGATGTACAGATGTACGTAGATGTCTGTCTATGTCTGTCTGTCTGTCTGTAGGTAGGTAGGTAGGTAGGTAGGTAGGTAGGTAGGTATGCAGGTATGTATGTAGGTATGTATAGATGTATGTGACTGGATGTGCATATAGGTTTATATGTGTGTTGAGACCTTTGGAGGGATTCCAAGACTGTGCCACCCCCGAGGCCACGTGTGGACCCAACCGAGCCAGCGAAGATCCGGCCGAAGCCGCCAAAGACGGCGTCCGAGAAAGTGAAAGCGAGGCCAAAGCGTTCTTTGCCAGCATTGGTAGGGTTGAGGGTTTCGGGTGTAGGTTTAGGGGCCTTCCTTTTTGGGATGTCGCATAGAAGCAGCACAACTAACAGATTGCAATCTGACACAGGGTGTAGTTGAATCCATGCCAAGACGGCTTCCGAGGCCCGCAAACCAAAGGCCACGTGCCAGCCTGGAACGCGGGCGCAGGGCTGCAGCCGGAAAAGGAGGAGAAGTTGCATCCAGCGGGCCAGGCCAGCATGGGGTTTTGCCTCCACAGAGTCACCGTGTTCTCGCGAAGCTATCCAGCACAGGTGCCGGATGCCGTGCTGGCCTTGGCTGGAGGAAGCCGCGGTAGCCCTGAACACTTTGCATTTCTTGGACGAATCAAATGCTCTGATCGCAGGAGCAGAATACATGCAGGCCCAGTCAGCCCGGAGACACGGTAGTCCAAGGCAACTGGGGGCAGTCACGTGCAGACCCATGCGCGATCACAGCTTCCGCCTGTGGGAAGTGCTTGGCTCACACGAAATGGACTTCCTGCGCCGGTTTTACTGTCCGAAGCCCTCTGCTGTCCGGAGCACCCAAGTGCATCGACGTAGAACAGATCCTGCCAGGCCATCGGTGTCGCCTGTTCGGAAAGACTTCTGGACCGGGAGCTGGGGCCAGCGTGCGCAGGAGCATCTCGAACGACAGGCCCCAAGCGACTTGGGTCAGGGTTTGGGGTTTGGGGCTTGCTTGACGATGGGACCTGAGTCTCTCGACGCACACATAAAGGGGTTTGGGATCTAGGGTTTAGGGTTCTAGTGACTAGTGTGCGCGGCTGATGTCTTGAGCATCCGCTGTGGTTGCCTGCTCCCCCAGACCAAGAGGAAGAACAAGCGCATTCCCGTAAATACATGACATCTTTCTTTTGCAAAGCAAGCTTTGCAGGCAAAGTCCGAAATACGGCGAGAGCTCCAGCGCCCACTGTCGTCAGTAAGAGCCCCAGCCGCACTCCTCCGTTCTGCCAGCGAAAGAAACTGTTGCAAATGTCACCGTTCGTCACAAGCAGCCAAATGGCAGCACGACGCAAGATTCACTGGCATCTGTTGGGTGGAGACGAACAGAGGATGACCAGAATGCGAATGCAACCATGCATGATCCAAAAGCCCGCCGCAACCCACGCCTCTGTTTCTTGCCGCATGGCTGCAGGACCCGTTGACGAGCAGAAGAAGGCTGGAGTTGGTAGCTCTGGAGCCAAACTCCTCAACTTCCGATCGCCTTCTTTCTCAACTTCCAGTCATGGCCCAGTAAGCCAATGATATGTTTTGCATCAAACTCGTGATAGGCGGCCGGAAGCGACGGCACAAGGCCGGAATCGCATGGGAGAGTGTATTGGGCCCGCCAGTGTCTTGCATCCCATGTGCACCCAGGGCAAGATAGCTCTGAGCCGCACAGATTCTTCTATATGAGCCCAAGAAGCTTGAGACTGCCACATACATCAGATATCTATATATATATATATATATCTGTCGGCACTGATGATTACCATTGTGCACCTTGGTACTAGCTCCCACTGGCTCCCACCATGAAAAGGCCTCGCTCCGAGCTCGACGCCGGCGACGCCGCGGTCCCAAACCCCGGAGACGGAAAGAGGATGGGACAGGGCTTTAGCCGAGAGATATCCAGAGATATACCACATCGAAAACGGTCGTGGCAAGAAGAGAAGCCTCTTAACCCGGGTAAGTGATAGTAGGCACTGTGAAGATAGAGTAAGCACCAAAATGGGTCAGAGGCCGCTTAAAGAGTGATCCCCGTTCGCGGGCCGTTCCCCAGTCAAGATAGCGCACCATTGGCAGATTCATGGCTTCAGCGTGGCTTTTGTGGCTTTTATCGTCGGTTTCATTGCCCGAGCGCCTCAATGGTCTTGTGCCGTATATAATCGTGGCATTTGAAGCCATGTCATCGTGTGAAATTGATGCAGTTGTCGTTGTTCGTCAATCGGTGTTGCTTCATTATTGGAAAGGATGCCTGAAGTGTTTCTGCCTCCCGCATGGTCTTGAAAGACTGGATTAGCTTAACCGGCGGAACGGACATAGCGGAAAACTGTGAGACTGTGATGGCTTTTTCTCGGGCAGCAGGAACTCCACGAGAGCCAGTTTGGAAGCAGGCTGCAAGGGACCATTCGCAGAGGCACGAGCTTTGGATCTTAGCAGGGTCGGGCCATCGGGGAACGGAGTCAGGTCGTTTGGAACTTTGACATCAGCTTGTCCAAATTCACATGCTTGTCAGGGAGGCTTTATATTCGGGCCAGCCCATTTGCTGGCGCTTCAACCTAACCAGCACCTGCTCTGGGGAGGGTTGCCAAGCAAGACTTGAGAGTCATGCAGCTAGCTTCGAGAGTATTTCTGTTCGGCAGTCGTCGTCGTTATGGTGGTCGTGGTAGTGATTGTGGTAGCGATCGGGGTCCCAGTCGCGATCGTGGTGGTGGTTCTGGTGGCAGCAGCAGCAGCAGCAGCAGCAGCAGCAGTAGTAGTAGTAGTAGCAGCAGCAGCAGTCGTAGTAGCAGTAGATGTAGCAGCAGTAGTAGTAGTAGTAGTAGTAGTAGTCGTCGTCGCAGTAGTAGTAGCAGTAGTAGCAGTAGTAGTAGTAGTAGTAGTAGTAGTAGTAGTAAGGAGTAGTAGTAGTAGTAGTAGTAGTAGTAGTAGTACTAGTAGTAGTAGTAGTGCTCTCAAGATGTTGAAGTAAAGTCGTGAGCGGATGAGCTTCGAGGGTGTGGACGCACACGACTTGTCTCGTCTATGTCGTACGTGCCCTGTATCATCAGGCGTTCAGCTCACGCATGAAGGTGGACGTTGCAAACGTTTGTTTTCTGCATGCTTGGTCGTAAAGGAGTGGTGCAGAGACTGCACGGTGCTTGGAGCTGCAGCTTGGACGTGCATTTATCATTGCTGAGACCTCACGCTGTCCACTGTGATAGCCGGACCAATGGTCTGGAAGAGGCGACGCCGGACATCGATGATGATGTGTGCCATCGAGGAGGAAGGAAGGAAGGAAGGAAGGAAGGAAGGAAGGAAGGGAGGAAGGAAGGAAGGAAGGGAGGAAGGAAAAAAGGAAGGAAGGAAGGAAGGAAGGAAGGAAGGAAGGAAGGAAGGAAGTGGTAGTAGTAGTAGTAGTCGTCGTTGTCGTCGTCGTCGTAGTAGTAGTAGTAGTAGTAGTAGTAGTAAGGAGTAGTAGTAGTAGTAGTAGTAGTAGTAGTAGTAGTAGTAATAGTAGTAGTAGTAGTAGTAGTAGTAGTAGTTGTTGTTGTTGTAGTTTTTGTATGTTGTAGTTGTTGTTGTTGGGGCAGGAGCAGCAGAAGTCGTCGTCGCTGTCGCAATACACGCCTGGATTGAAAATATCCCTCGCTCTCTTGTTGTATGCACGGAACAGGGGTTGCTCTTAGTTAGACTACTTCTCAACGGTAAACAGCAAGCAGCAAGAGCGATCGAGACATTCAGTTCAATGAGAGTGATCAATGTCAGTGGTGCCTTCATTTGTATATGGCATGTTGGCATCGGACCCGTGTAACCCGAAAACTTGAGTCTCAAGCGACTCTTATTTCAAGACCATACTGCAAAAGGCCTTTAGGCTTTAGGGTTGAAGGAAGACAACATCCCAAACCCCAAAAACCCCTGACCACTAAACCCTAAACCTTAAATTTCGCCTTCACGGTAGGAGATCTCAACCCTAAACCCTGAACCCCTGAACCCTAACCCCCAAATCCTAAACCCTCAACCCTAAACCCCGAACCCCTGAACCCCTAAACCAAGTCTCAAAGGGCCCCTTCACCCTCCCCAGCTTCGAACCTCTGACATCTCAAGCTCTCCGGAGAAGGAACCCTTGATTCACCTGAACCCCCAGCCCCCAAAACCCTCTAGAGTACTTTTGAAGGCACTCTAAACCCCTCTTCAGGATTCTCTAATGTTGCGTCCGGTTTTGGATCCACAAACAGAAAACGTCACTCTTGTAGCCCGTATATAATTGAAGCTGCCCCTGCAGGCTTGTGCTTGGTTGGATATAGAAGAGTTTAGGGTTTAGGGTTTAGGGTTTAGGGTTTAGGATATAGAAGGCCAGACGGGTTGTTCCTCCGTGCTGTATTCAGCACCAATAACCGTAAGGACTCAATCGACATATCACGTTAGATAGCTCTACGTCTTGGGCTACAAACCTGGGTAGTTCTATAAACTAAGGTCCCTTTGGCGGTCCTTAAAACAGTAGGGTACCCTTATCGAATAAGGGGACCCTAAGCCCGAAACCCGGAACCCCTAAACTCCTAAACTCCTAAACCCTACCCACCTCGACTTCGGGAAACCGTAGAACCTAAAGGATACTCGGAGGGCCCGTCTGGTTTCGTGTTTACGGATTAGGACCCTCGTAGGACCCGCACAAACCCCAATCATCATCCAGGCTTTCCGGCTATCCGAAAAAGGGACCACAATGCAGGGTCTATAGGTAATATAGAAGTGCCTCGGGGCTCCCTATCATAAGCAATTAGGAGCTAGGATTCAGGGGACCCTTGGGAACATCGACCCTCTCAATAAGGTCCCTTTTTAAGAAAGCCATAAGCAGGGTTAAGAGGGGTCCCCTTTAGGGGGTCTCCCTACTACTACCTAGGAGTAATTATAATCCGCTGTTACAACGATCATCATCAGTACAAGAAGCCAGCTCGAAGAGCCTGGTCCCGGGAGTCGATAGGAAGGCTCAAGGTCCCCTTCTTCACGAGCATGATCGGCAGCAATGGCGATAGAACGCTGCTGAAGTCTTCTGGCCCACGCTGTGAAGAAGGACCGAACCCTAAACCCTAAATCCTATAAACGCCTTGAGGGCGCACGTATGCACGCTGCTGCCGCTTCTACAGTGACGTTTGTTGGATCTGCCGGTGCTTGCCAATGGCCGAGACACCGGTTGCCAAATTTTCCAGGCTCAAGTTTGCGGTATAGGGCTCGGGGTGTGTATGTGTGTATGTGTGTGTGTATATGTGTATATGCACATATGTATGATAGTTCTACATATATATATATATATATATGCATACATATATTACTTACATTTGAAGGGTTAGGTCTGAAGGTTGAGGGTTGAGGGCGGCGGGTACCGGGGTTTAAGGTTTTAAGTAGCACTAAACCGAAGCGCCTAGCAACCGGGGCAGGGTGTGTGTCTGTGCATATGTGTGGTTGGTTGGTTGGTTGGCTGGCTGGTTGGTTGGTCGGTTGGTTGTGGGGTGGGGCTAAACCCTAGGCCCTAAACCCTAAACCCCTGGGGGAGACTCCTACGTAGGCCTATACAAGACCTGCGCGTTGGAGCCGAGCCGCGGCAGCGAAAGCACTTCGAAGCCCACATACAGCTTTAAGCTTGAAGCTTACACCGTTCACCTTCCCCAATAGCTCGCAAAAGCAATTCTGACTGTCAGGCTGTGAGGTCAAAGTCAAGAAGCTCAGGGCATAAGGTTTAGGATAGGGTTTAGGGGTAAGGGCTTAGAGCTAAAAGGCTTAGGGTATAGGGTTTAGGGCTAGGGTTTAGGTGTTCAGGGTTTAGGGCTTAGGATTTATAGGGTTCAGTGCTTCATGCCCGGAAGCCCGCACGCCCTGAAAGAGCCCCCAAAGCCCGAAGCCCGGTAAGAGGCCACATGCTGCCGCTATGGAACACAAGATCCTTAAAGCACGCGATTATCCATAATGCAAGATATAAGGTAATATACTACCATATATTATATTCCAGTCTAGTTTGTTATATGAACTTATGTTTATATCTGATAAGTTACCTTTCATACGGGGATGTCAGTGACCAATGGAAGTGTATAGGGCATACGTCCTTTTTTGGGTAAACTGCTTTGAGCAGGAATTTGTAAGCACCCTTCGGAGAGCTCTTGTGTGGAACGACGCTGATTCGATGTGAGGGTTTTGGTAGGAGGTTGTTGTTGCCTCTGCAAAGAGAGCTGCTCAGAGGGATGTTGC